ATTCGACGAATCTACGCCTTACTTGATGATCGTTTGGCTTCAATTCTTGCACGAGTTGGATTTTGTAAGCACGCAAACCAAGATCCTTCCGCAAAATCTTCCATAAAGTGGATGGACACAGATCCAATTCCTGTGCTCGATGGCGGATGGACTCCTCCGGGTCTTCCTCAATGCTACGCTGTACAGCAGCAAGAGCTTCTTCTGTACGCACCGTACGGCGTCTCTGGGGATGCGAGTTATCAATAAGAGTAAACGTGGTGCGAAAACGTTCCATGGTTAATCGAATTAACTGCTCTGATGGACGATTTTGTCGACGATAAAATGGACGTAGTGCGCGATACGTTTTCCGCACAGAACCATTATTTTCGAAATAAAATTGCACTATTTGCAAGCGTTGTTCAGGCGTGAGTCTATTCATGATGAATTGCCAAACCAAACTAAGAATAAATCACTTGACAGCTGTTAAATCGGTCGCCATCTTGAAAAGTAATGCCAACTTGAAGTTCTATACCTCTATAAAAAACACCCATTACATTAATATTTTATTCTTATAGAACGTGTAATATTTGTCTAAGGTTTTATCTATTTTTCTTACTTTTTGTTTGTCTAGTATTTAATTGGCCTATTTTATCTCAAGCTGAAATATAATTTGCTCAACTATAACACCAAATTCACAAAATTTAATGAAATGTTTTGTAGTTTCTACTCCATGAAGGCCATACATATTTTTATACAAATATTAATGCACTTACATATTCTTTATAACTCCTTGCGAAACAAGAGCTCTGCTCTTGTCGCCAAACCACTTTGTTCACATATTTTGTTTTAATTGTACTCTAATCTTTATACGTTTTGGTTGACGACACTATATAATCTGAGACCTTTATTATCTCACTCCCCAGATATAGCAGTTGATCTTTTGTGTGGGATAATTTTTTCAAAGAAAATATTCCTGGAAATGCATTATTATGCTTTCCTAAAATATAAAAAAATACACAAGGCAATACCTGTCGAATACGTATGAAGATTTTCATTACAAATGGACATCGTTAAACTGCTTCATGCATTTCACATTCAAAAATGTTGTTAACCGTAAATATTCACTGGCATGAAATTTTCATTTCAATTCGAATAAAGAATGGCATGTGTTTTCGTCCACAAATCCCTCAGAGTTTGTCAAACTCTCATTGAACAAATCACGAACGTTTGTTCATTTCCCAATGAAACGAATCATGATTTTGAATTTATTCGATGTTACATTTTTATTGACAATGGGAAATTTTTAGCTGTCGATATCATGTCACAACTGGAACGATATGAAAATATGAATAGCCGTATCATATACATTGCAGACATAAATATATCCTCCTTTTAACTTACCAACTTATATTGAAAGTTATCATTGTTGGTACTCGTTGATAAGAAATTCAATAGTGTTGCATCACTCTCGCCGAGAGAGTGCTAAGAGCGGTATCAATTTTTTTCAAATGTAAAGAATAATCTTCTCATAACTCGTTTGCTAGGTATTTCAATTCTCTATCCAACGCTGTTCTATTTCTATATTTCGAATCATACTTTCCTGAGTGATTATCAGTTATATATTCGTGTTAAAAATTTTAAAACAAACGTTAAATCTCATTTTACAAAAAAAAAAGGAACTTGGTCCAGTTCCTTCCAATGAATATTTGAAAAATTTTTCAATCACTCTCTAATAATAATAAACTCTGTTTACAAATTCATTTATTACATTATGTAATGTTACTGCTGAAATTTCTATTCAAGCACCTCTTTTTCTATCCACGATAACTAAAATGGACTGGAATTATGTATCGTATACCCATCGTATCCCCCCAGAAACATCTGAAGCGTCATATCAGGTGATCTAGTGTGCTCCTCTAAGGGACCATGTCCGCCTATCTACTGGTTTCGATAGTTGTGATTGAGCCAGTTTCCANAACTTCTTTTCCTGGTGAAAAGGACCATCTCAGTCTTCTTGGGATTGATCGACAGTGAGTGTTCCTTACACCATGTTTCTATTAATTTGAGCCCATCCTGCGCTCTATCGCACAGTGTGTTCACAAAGTTGCCAGTCTGCACGATAACTATGTCATCTGCGTATGCAATTGTGTAGAATCCATTTTTGTTAAGGTGATTAATTAGGGTATCCAGAACTATGTTCCAGAGAAGAGGTGACAAGACCCCTCCCTGTGGACATGTGCATGTGTTTCATCCTCAAAAAACAGAATATGAATAGAAAATGAATTCCTTCAAACTAAAAACGCATATTTCTACAAGAAAATTTCTGAAATTACGCTCAAAAATAAATAATTGTCTGATTTTTTTATTACATAAGGAAACAAGTTGAATATGCGAAGAGCCAAATGATTTGGGGAGTTATAGTCAGTTTGCTTTTTCCGAATGGTACGTGAAAATTGTTTTTGTCGAGTGTCGAGATATATTTTGTTTTATTTGAAAGCATTCAAATCATCAATTAAGCAATCAAAGTTGGTATGATTTTTTTACTAAAATTCTACGGTAATTCTGCCATTCATCAATATGAAGACCTAAAAATTTTCTTTCTGTCGATTCTGCTATTACAAAATCAGGGTTGTCGTTTGCTCTTAATCTGATTACGTCACAGCTACATTGCCGATGATGAAATCTGATTGATAACGTTCTATTCATTTCCGGGGAGAGGTTACTTGCTAAGAACCATTTGTTTATATCGTCAAATACTTGATAACAATTGCTTTCCAGCATCGAATCCTCTTGAACAGATAATATTATTGATGTGTCATCCGCATACATTCTGACAAAAGTTGCAGGAGTTGAAGTGTCCAAGTCATGAATATATTACATACACAACATATGTTGTGTTTTGATTGGTTTTCGGGTTCTGCCGTGACTTCTTTGGTTACAATCTCCAAACGTTTCACCTGCAACTGCGGCAGTCAACTTCCGTGGCATGATCAAAGTACTCTTTTTGGCGTATCAACTGAAACTGAAGAAGAGTACTTCGACAACGCCACTGAATGAGTCACATTCAGTGGCAGCAGTTGCAGTTGAAACGTTTGGAGATTGTAACCAAAGAAGACAACGGCAAAGCAAGGGGACCAACCTAACATTGACGCCAGCCATGGAAGTCACATTCCCATTCGAATAATATAGATCCCAGTACCGATCCTTGAGGAACTCCAAGGTCAAACGTATAGACATTTGAAAACTGGTCGAAGACAGCAACGTATTGTTTTCTACAAGACATGTAGTTTGCGAACCAATTCAAAGGACCGCCTCGAATACCATAATAACGAGAAAGTTTATCCAAGAAAATTTTATGATCGACGCAGTCGAAGGCTTGCTCAGATCACAAAATATCCCCTCAGAGCATTCGTCTCACTCGATATAATTCACAATCTCACTGTGATCTCATCTTAAGAAACTCATGATGGTAATCTAAAAAGGTATTTGCATCAGCGAAAAATGAAAGTTTTTCGGGAGAGGCGTATTCAAATATTTCAGAAATTCTTGGAGTTATTGTCACTGGCTATAGGACTATTCTTCTCATGGATTGGAAATGAACATGTGTTGAAATACAAGCTTACTAAATAAAGTAGCGGTTTCATCAAAGCAAGAAGACATATGTTCAAGATATTATTTGATATTATTTGAAAGAAGATTAAGAATGAAAAAAATTACAGTTTTTCCGAAGCCGTAGCAATTTAAGTTAATGTCTGCAGAGAAATTTTGGGTTTTTATGGAAGCACTTGAATTATGTATAACACAACTTGATAGATATTGTCGAAGATAAAATATCATAGTCAAAGTTTTATTATTTACCAGTAGATGAAACATAGCATCTTCCGTGTTTTTCAAACTCTGAAACCCAAACTGACTGCTACTAATAATATTATGCTTATTCACAAACATCATATATCTTTGTCTAACCAGTTTTTCTTTGATTTTAGCAAGGGTAGGTAGCATAGAAATGGGCCTAAAGTTGGCAGGATTGTTAGTGTCACCTCCTTTGCCGGAAATACACCCGTTATGAAGCTTGTGTTGATAGCTTCCACCAAAGTGGTGATAGCGGAGTTGAGCAACTTGGTAAATACTTTTATGCTCATGTCATCCCAACCAGCTGAGTTTGAATTTTTTATTTCATTAAGCATTTTTTTAATTTCCATAACATCTGTAAGCGAGAAAAAAAAGTCTCTGAAACTGAGTTGTCTTCAAGAAAAGTCAAGGGATTAATATTGGATTTCATATCTTTGGATGAGTTATGTGCCACAGTCCAGTAATATTTGTTAATACAATCAGATTTTATGTCAGTTTTTGTAGGAGCAATATTATTTTTTCCCCTGAGGTCATTGATGATAGCCCAGCTTTCTTTTTGTTTGTTTGCAGACCTTTCCATTTTTTTCATAAAATGAAGATGTTTTGCAGTCCTTATAGTTCTTCTATAAATGTTTTTGTACCTATTATATAGAGAATTGAAGCCTTCATTGTTACCTAAATATTTCCGAATTAAATATAGGAATCGTAGATTTTCTGCTGAGACCCTAATGCCCTTTGTGATCCATGGCTTTTTAATTTTAGTTCTAATTTTGCTAATAGGGAACGCACTATTGAAATTATTCGAGAGAGTTTCATGAAACCTACTCAATGGGTCGTCATTGGGATGATGTAAATCATTCCACTTTGCATCATTGCAAAAATCTACAAGAGTATCAATTTTTTTTTGTACTATAGATTCTTCCAAAGTGCTTCTTTGGCATCGATAACTTTCGACCTCCTTGGAAATTAAACACAACAGACTCATGGTCAAAGAGTCCAGCACTGACAACTTTACAGCTGATTTTTCGGGTATTTGAACATACATAGTCAAGAGTAGTACTTGAGTATTTAGAAATATGTGTAGGAGAATCAACATGCATTGTGAGATTGAATGTTGTCAGTATGTTTTCTAGTTCGAAAGTTGCTCTAGAGAGTTTATTTTCGAAGTTTATGTTGAAGTCCCCCGTAATTATAATAAGTGCCTTGGAAGGGATTTGCAATTACAGCATTTCTAGTCGCTCTAGAAAAACATATTCATTACATAATAGTGATCGATGAAGGCATAACATGTATACATCATAAACTTGACAGTAAATCATTGAAAAATCAAATTCTTTCTCAACCAACATATAATCATATTTAGTACATTTGATAAAACTAACTGTTTCACAA